AGAACTTTTAGTACACTGGAATTGTTTACACTTTATTTTAAAATTGCTTGGACAAAAATTGCACAATAACATCCACATAAGATCTATCACAAACCAAAGTCTGATCTGGATCCAAGTAATATTCTGGATGTGATGATCCAGAATGTTCAGTTATATAGGGCTCATGGAAAACTTGCTACTGTGACACAACAAATAACACTACAGGCTTGCAACTAACACCAAACTGTAGCTGAGACTCTTCTGATTCAGTAGAGGGTCAACAACATATCTTCAACATTTGCTGTGCTAGATCCTAAAGAAAATCACCACTAGTGAAATAATGTTTTTCTTGAATAACTTCTTAAACTAATAATGTTAACAATGTGACTCCAAATGCTACGCACAGCTAAAGTACAACATCAAATGACACAATAAGGACATCAAGGGGGTCCGACTTTATTGTGTTATATAGAGGCTCCATGTGAAATTCTGGCTTAAAAATCAGTACAGTACTTCACCTGATGTTGTGCTTACATACAGAATAATGTTAATGTTTAGTCAAAATAGAACACCGCAAAATTAGCACCATGTAATATTGCAGGAATAGTGTACACATTGCACTCAGGAGTGGCAGAGAAGTACGTCAGAGTAGTTCAGGATATGTAGTTCAAGAGAGGAGTACAACAGTAGTGAGATGAGCTGTAGGTCAGACAGAGGAGTTCAAGGTGGAGGTGGGGCTACATCAAGGATCAGCTTTGAGTCCCTTCTTGTTTGCTATGGTGATGGACAGGTTGACAGATGAGGTCAGACAGGAATCTTTGTGGACAATGATATTTGCGGATGACATTGTGATCTGTAGTGAGAGCAGAGAGCAGGTGGAGGAACACCTGGAAAGGTGGAGGTCTGCTCTGGAAAGAAGAGGAATGAAAGTCAGTCGTGGTAAGACAGAATACATGTGTATGAATGAGACAGAGGGAAGTGGAAGAGTGAAGTTACAGGGGGCTGAGGTCAAGAAGGTGCAGGAGTTTAAGTATTTGGGGTCAACAGTCCAGTGTGACAGGGAGTGTGGGAAAGAGGTGAAGAGGTGAGTGCAGGCAGGTTGGAGTGGGTGGAGAAAGGTGTCAGGAGTGTTGTGTGACAGAAGAGTGTCAGCAAGAATCAAAGGAAAGGTGTACAAGACAGTAGTGAGACCAGCTATGCTGTATGGGTTAGAGACTGTAGCAGTGAGGAAAAGACAAGAGGCAGAGATGGAGGTAGCAGAGATAAGGATGTTGAGGTTCTCTTTAGGAGGGACCAGGATGGACAGGATTAGGAATGAGCACATCAGAGGGACAGCTCAGGTCGGCTGTTTTGGGGAAAAGGTCAGAGAGGCCAGATTGAGATGGTTTGGACATGTGCAGAGGAGGGATAGTGGTTATATTGGTAGAAGGATGTTGGGGATGGAGCTGCCAGGCAAGAGGTCAAGAGGAAGGCCAAAGAGGAGATATATGGATGTGCTAAAAGAAGACATGAAGTTAAATGGGGTGAGAGTAGAGGATGCCGAGGATAGAGTTAGGTGGAAACAGATGATTCGCTGTGGCAACCCCTAACAGGAACAGCCGAAAGAAGAAGAAAGAAGAAGTGTACACATTGCACACACAGTGTGAGGATCAAGGTTGCTAAAAAGGACCCAACAACTTGTTTTCCCCTGGGGGCCCTAGCAATTTAAAACAGCCATGCCAGTATATTAGAGAAGGGTATACACATACTGTAGTAATATGCTGTACTGTCCCATTGTGTCACCCTGTCCTTGGTACTATGCCACTCTGAACTCTGTGCCAGCCAGGGGACATAAACAGCCAGTCACCTCCTTGTTTTAACAGAAATCCCTGCTGGCTTCTAATTGGATGAGATTAAGGGGTGGCGGTAGTAGTGGTGGTGGAGGGATAAGGCATGACATCATCAAGTGGTATCTCCTTGGCAACCAGGAGCCGGTGAGTATGTAAACACAAGTACAATGGAGACAATAAAGGTGGTTGGCTTTTATGCAAGTGCAAACACACACACGATGCAGCCCCTTGACACTGAAGCCAGAGTTCGAAGTGGTGAATATGCTATACACCTGCCTCACCCTCTCCCCCATCTTTTTATTACTTCCTGTTAGTATTGAGGATTTACAACAGAAGCATCACACTGTGAGGAAGTGATAAAAATACAAATAACACAAAACATCATGTACAGTGAAAAAGAGCAAGACAAGAAGTTGGGCAGCACAGGCAGTAGACTTCAGTCAGAAGCAGAGATGTAGTTTCAAGTGTTGCAATATCTGTTCAGTAAGCACAGATAAGGCTAGTCTGATAAGAACCTTAATATGTTTTTGTGTCTTTTCATAGGCTGGTGTAATTATGCTCTTTGCTCCATACATTTCGCCACTTCCTATTCCATTACCCAAAGTGAGGAAGGTGTAATCTGTGTCAGAGCAAATAAGATTTGACCAAACCTCATCACAAACCATGTGGTCAAGAGTAGGAAGGAGAGGGGACAACTGTGTTTAAGTTGTGCACATGTGTGATTTTGTTAGAGTGCGTGCTTGTCATCAGCATGCTTTATGACCATGTGTGTTTTAAGAGTGTGAGAAACTTAAAAATGACAAATTAGAAGCAAAGGTTCAATCAACAGCAATCAAACTTGATTTAAAAGAACTGTCCACTCTCTCCACATGTCCCTGCCTTGGATTAGAAAGGTCAACCGCATCGCAAATATACAAACGATGCCACAAAATTTGTTATCTGTGCTTGTCAACTGTAGTCCAGAACAGTCATGTTCTTGGACTGGACTACAGTTGACATAAGCTGCAAAAGCCTGATCATAGTGTGCTTTTTAAACGAACTGTCCACAGTTTTATTTTTATACCTTATTGTCCAAAGGCCCTATGCACTGGAACAAAGCTTTGGCATTTAGGGTGTCCTGCTGACATCTCTGAATCCAACCAAAACCTTGACATCATATATAATACAATACTGTCCAAAACATTTTCATCAAAAACCTTTCATTACTTTTTGAGTTATGCTGTAAACAAACAAACAAGCAAACTCCTGCAAAAACATTACCTCCACCGGGGCCTTAGTTAATAAAGTGTAGACAAACACTGGACAGACAATGTACAATTGATTTACATTTTCAGCTGTCACTGATGTCTCTGAAAGTCTAACAAAATTTAACCAACAAGACTTAAAAATAGCATCTGACTCAATGGACAGTCTGGATTTCAATTTTGTTTTAGCTAAAATCTGACTCTTTATTGAGGTTAATTGTAGGCTATGGCTATCCTTTCACTTTGTATCAGTGTAATGATATTACATAAGGTTGCATGTCCAAAGAAAAAGGATTACACCCATTTTTCTTTCATTTAATAGACATTTTCATTCATAATTTCTCATTAAATATTTGTGATGTCAGCATCAGTGCCTCAGATCATTTTTAACAGTATTCAGCAGCTGAGTAACCTGAAAGCGGCAGAGATGCAGAGTCAGTAATAAAAAAGAACAGAGACAAAGCCAACAGAGAGTGCGTGGTGCCCTGACACTCTCAGCTCATGCACACATAGGAGGTCAAAAGAATCTGTCTGCACCACCTCTGTGTGAATTCCTGCCTACAGTATACAGTATGCTTGCACCAAACATTAGAAATACTTTCATGACACAGGCTGGTGCATAAAAGAGAAAAGCTGAAACCTCAATCATTCCCTTTAGTCACGAATCAGAAGGTGCACATGCAGAACACGGGGGGATTCCATGACACAACTGTACACTTAATATTTCCTTGATGCTGTTTATCTGTTAGTTTGCCTGCCTGTTCAAAGCTGCTTACTCATATCATTTATAAAGTTTTCCCAAGTCTGTCTCCTGCATGACAGCATGCAGTGACTTATGACTGAGATGAAAGCAGTGCCCGTGATGCGGAAATATACACCAAGTGACATTTAGTTGCCCTCTTGAATAATAATAAGTACAAAATTGCAGAAGATACAGGTTTCCTTCCAAAACCCATATAACTTGCAAAAATATTTTAATCATTTTGTACTGATGGAACAACTCTCTAATAAAGTTAATTACTGTTATTTGACACAGGACAGTTGTGTGGGAATGCACACACATTGCTGGCACTTGTACATGTATGTATTGAGCACTGTGTAGTCACACAGTTTATAAACTTATTGACAGTTTATCCTAAAAGAAAATGAAGACAAAATGTACAATCAGTTTGTTGATTCAGTCTCCAGCTCAGTGTATTTTGAGTAAATCGGCATGGTTTACCCACCAGTGTGGCAAAACAGGTTCAGCAAACAGCTGATGACACAAAGTCCATGGCCTCACCTATGCTACAAATGGACTGGACAGCTGGTAGACATACAAACACATAAAAGTGAATCTGGCTAGTGTGACTACATAACACAATCATATAAATATGTGTGTGTGCGTATAAAGGGTGGCCAAAGATTGTTACATTAACAACAACAACAACAAAAAAACAAACAAACAAAAAAACAATACTACAGATATATGAAAGGTGCCTAGAAAAATGTTACATTTTAGGAATAATGCAGTGCAGTGGGGTTCCCTGTGCTCCCATCTGTACTCAGCCTGCAGAACAGTCTGTTCAGGGTGACTCAAAGTCAGTAAAGGCGTTTTGATCTATGTCAGCTACTCCAGTGGTTTCCAAACTGGGGTTCAAGGAACCTACAGTAAAAGGTCTTACAAAGGTCCCAATCATTTTTTTTTCTCATTCCTGTTCTCTTATCCTCATAAACTCTTCATATAGGCTGTAAACTATTTCTTCGGGGACCATATGGCATTCCATGCCTCAGCCTTGTGAGGATGTGGCCCCGTGTGTTGCACCATACTACTCCGTAATTGGCCGAGGGGATGATGAATGCAACGCCGCATTTTCCAGCGTAGTAAATGTGCAAGAGGCGATTCATGCACTCACCATTTGCAGGCTGTACTCCGTGGACACACGGTGACACAGGACAAACCACCTACCTTTTGATTCGCAGTCAGCGCAGTATTTATTCTCTTCGAGCGCCAGTAGAGAGTTGAGGACAGCCTGATATCTGTCAACGTCTTTCACAGATTTGCCCGTCATCGTTGCAATAATCCGCCTCCACCACAGCCTCTACAGTCCGCTCCGGCTATTGTCGAACAGCGTCCTACTTGACGAAATGAAGGCAGCGAGTGCAGAGGAGATGCGCTCAGTTCCTCTTCCTCCTCGATCTAGCGAGTTTGGTTCACCACGATAGGATGATTGTATTTCAGCCAACCAGCATGCGAGTTATTCTAGGTGCAGATATCCTAATCAAGACGCAACGTGAGGGAAAACAGCGAGTTATCGGTACGATTCAAAATGTAATATTGACTTTAAAGCCCATCTGTGACATATCACAGCCCCCCAGCCCTCTGACAGCGCTCTCTCTCTCTCTCTCTCTCTCTCTCTCTCTCTCTCACACACACACACACACACACACACACACACGCACGCACGCACTATGCCAACAATAAAATATAGCTTCCAAAGCGTAACTTGCCACTTAAGTTATGGACAAAGTCATTTTATATGTTTTATGCTGTCTTGCTTTATAAAGGAATGCCAGGTCATTTGGTTTAACATTACAAAATATACCATACACTGACATCATGTGGTCAGTCATAAGGAGTTTTTGAGATGTAGACCTAACTCTCTTCGTGTTCCGCAGTTTCTCTCCACAACGCAAGGTGGCGATAAAAACAATCAGTCACAACAAAAACCAGTCGAAGAAAGATTGGTGAGACAGCTGACTGAAGAACTGCATCAAGCTCGATAATATTTACAGGACGGGCACAGGAAATGAGATGGCTTTGTCTTCAAAATAAGTGTGTGATGTGTTTCTTTTGTAAAAAAAAAAGAGACCTCTGTGTAAGACGTGATAACAACAATAGACTTATACCCAACTGTAGTAGTTGTTTTCCATTACACATTTTCTTTTGCCTCCTGCTTTGTGTTGTTCATGTTTCCTCAGTAATTCGTTTAGTCTGAAGTAAGACAGGAAGTCAGTATCATTCGAATGAGCTTGTAGAAGTGGATAACTAAACTGGCGATTACGGAAATAGCTTCTTAGCCTGAATCAAATAAATAAAGGATTAATTTAGAGTTGCCATCCGTGTGAGCCTATAATATTGATTCACAATGTCCAGACAATCCAACCGAACAACAGACAGCAAGAAGATGGTAGGATTAATATTAGTCTAACCTTTGCAAGCTGACCTTAGCCAAATAGCTATTGTGTGGTACACTAAACCTCTGTGAGCTAAGCAGCTTGTCATTCATTGATAATTTTGTCAATCGTAGCTGGTTTATATACAAGCAGTGGAATCAGCGGAAAAAGTATTTAATTCATTGTAGGATATTAGTCGCTTTGACAGGAAGCGCAATTCGTTTTAGCGCACAGGGTAAATAGTTTGTCTCCGCTGTTGTGTTGTAGGCCTGCGGCCTCTGCTACTAATATATGTACGTTCACTTTGAGCTCAGTTTCCACATAAAATCCGTAATATGTTTTACACGTTACATTTTTATCTGAGCAAATGGAAACATATGAGCATCCCCGGTAAATGAAACTACAATGGGAGTCAAAATGTTAAGAAAACAACGTAAGCATTTTTAGTAAAACAGCAAATAATTTACAGAATGACACACAAAGGGGTCAGTATCACCTACAGTAGTCTGTTAGATTTAGTTTCTAATAGCACTGTTATATTGCATGACATTAGAATTTTACAGCTGCAGCAAATACTACCTCTGTGGATAATTAATCATTACCTTATTAAATTATAAAGTGTATAACATTTAGCTATTATTATATATTGAAACCTTTCCTTTTCAAGTCACTGCTATAGTATGTGATGTCATTTCAGTGCCAGGAACTCTCCATAGCTTGATTTATTAATTTGCCTTGTGCAGAGAGTAGCTTTAGATCTGTTTGCACTGAAGGAATTGGTTAGATGGCAAATTTAGGTTGGATTTTTTCTGGCCAGTGCCAGAAATCAGGGTGTTTTATAAACCATATATCCATGGGCTACGAGGCATTATTAATATGTTTTGTACCATTTTACCTAGATGTTTTCTACCTCATTCAGCATATGGATGATTTCCTGTTTGCTATAAAATAAAAAGAAACCAAATGTGTTAGTCCTTGGGCTTCTTCTGAAGTTATTAATTCAATTCTGAGCATGTGGAAATGTTGTTTTTGCCTATAGAACTCTGAGCTGTTCACACTGACTTATGGGGCCCTGGTCACCCAGCTTTGTAAAGACTACGAGAACGATGAGGAAGTCAATAAACAGCTGGACAAGATGTAAGTGCTTTATTTACACTCATTAGCTCTGTACGTGCCCAACTGTAGTATGAAAACATGTAAAAGCTGAATAAGAGTGGTCAAACTTGCTGGTGTGATACAAGTATTTTTACTTTTACTTTCACATATTTAACAATGAGTTATCCACTCAAAGCATTTTCTTTGCTTATAACAAAATGGCATGGATCACGTTGTTTTCAATTTTAAAATATTTTAGTTTGCTAATGAAAAAAATCAGACCCGCACACCTTGTCAGTGCTTGCTTGCCTTGTCTTCTCTCATTTTCTCTCATTTGTTTCCATTTTGTCTGTTTGTTATTATGTCCCCTCTGGTTTTACTAAGGTCATTTAAGTAATGCGATCTAATGTTGCTGTGTTCCAACTATGTTGTGCTGACTGTATGCCTAACAGTTTATTGTGTTAAATCTTCCCTATGAATATGTTTCCACCTCACAATATTTGCAAAAGCATTTTATTTTTTATGTCTTGTTGGACTAATTCATGTCATGTTGCCTAGCCTTTATATTGTGTCTCTTATTGTTGGGTTCATGGCTATTTTAATACCTGGCCAAGGGACAGAAGTAGGAAATTTTCCTCTTGGCAAAGTTACAGTAATGTTGATTAATATGCATTTGGATTGTCCCTGAAATGAAATATAAGGAAAAAAAAATTACTAAGCAGCTGGGGTTTGTTTCTGGTACAGTATGTAGCACCACATCACAATACATGAAGCAAATAGTGTCAAGTTTTCTGGGGTTTTTACTTCAAACACTGCCCAAACTTGAAAAACTAGCTAACATTACATTGTCCCAAGTCAAACTTTACAAGTTGCTTTTCTCCAACATGTTAGCTTGTATAACCAAGGGAGTAGATAGATTCCTTAATTAGGTTTTATTTCTCACACTGCAATCAATCAAAATTTATTTATATAACACTTTAAAAGCAGCATCTGGTCGACCAAAATACTTTACAAGGGCAATGTAAAACCCAGAATAAATAATATCAATACAGAAATAAAACAACAAAGGAACATAAAGACACCAACTACACAAAATCAGTAGTTAAAAGAAGGAAGCATCAGACACTACTATGTATTAAAAGCCACAGTGAATAAATATGTTTTAACCAATGATTTAAAAGTTGTCAAGTCTGTAGATGATTGAACATGAAAAGGTAAACCATTCTAGGTACTAGGAAATTTGACCACATAATCCCGGTACTGGCCTCTCTTTGCTGGCTTCCAGTCCATTTTAGAATTCATTTTAAGCTAATGATTTTTGTTTTTAAGGCTCTTAATGGTTTGGCACCTACCTTGCTGAGTTGGTGAGGTGGCGCGAACCAACAAGACTGCTCAGATCATCAAGCCAGTTTCTTTTAGAGGTTCCCAGGGCCAGATACAAACGCTGGAGTGACCGTGCTTTTATTGCTGCAGCTCCTAAATTGTGTTAAAAGACGAGCAGCAGCATTTTGGACCATTTGAAGATGAGTGAGAGACGACTGATTAACACCAAGGTATAATACATTACAGTAGTCAAGTCTAGAGGTTATAAAAGCATGGATTGCAATCTCAAAATCATTAAAAGAAAGAAATGACGACTTTACCTAGCAACCTCAGGTGAAAGAAACTAGATTTTACGATTGAGTCAATCTGCTTCTCGAATCTTTAGCCACTGTCAAACATTACCTAGGTTTTTTTACAGGCATCTTCAGATGATGAGCCAGGGGGCCTAAGTCCTGATTAAAAGCAGCAAATTTCACCAAATCATCAAATAAAATGCACCCAGTTTTATGCTCATTTAATTTTAAAAAAGTTTTGTGCCAGCCATGCTAGAGACATCCCTCCGGCTGCTTTTAATGGTAAATATATCTGGATGTCATCCGCATAACAATGAAAAGAGTAGCCATATTTCCTAGGAACTGATCTCAGCAGAACTAGATCCCCATCAACTCTGGCCAACAAAATGTCATTATTAATTTTTAATAGCGCAGACTCAGTACTGTGTTTTGATTTAAATCCAGACTGAAATTGCTCTTCAAGGCCGTTATCTGCCAGAAAAGACTGGAGTTAAATTAGAGCAATCTTCTCTAAAACTTTCAACATAAAAGATAATTTAGACACTTGTCTAAAATTATAAAACGCTTAAGGATCTAGATTCAGCTTTTTAAGAAGTGGCTGGACAATTGCTTTTTTAAAAGGATCTGGAACTGAGCCTGTAGTCAAGCATAAAATAATTAGGGCCTGAAAGCTAGGACCTGTAGACTCAAAAACATCTCTGTATAGTCTTGTTGGCAGGAAATCCAGAGAACAGTGAGATGTTTTCATTTGTAAAACCACTTCTGATAACACAGACAAAGAAACTCTCAAACTGGTCAAAAATAGCACTTTACGAATAACAGCACACAGTATGTGGAGAGGCATCAAAACAATAACAGACTACAGAGGCAACAACCAGCAGGATACACCTGGCAGCAGAGGAACTGTACATCTCCCTCAGCTCGAGTAACAGCACCAGCCCCTCGTCCTGCAGCTACACCAGGTGAGCTCCACCCTGAGGATGATCAACACCAACGAAGCCACAGGACCAGACAGGGTGTCAGGCCGGGTTTTGAAGCTATGTGCTGACCAACTGGCAGGAGTTTTTCTGGACATTTTTAACCTGTCCCTGCATCTTGCTTCAGTCCCTGTGTGCCTCAAGTATTCCATCATTGTGCCTGCGCCCAAAG